ATCAAACTTTGACTGCTCGGTTGCTTTTTGGGAGCAGTTTGTACAGAACCCGCAGCCATCCCATATGATGAACAATAAGAAGGAAGGGGGAGGGATGGGGGCTGAGCTGAGTAATTACACCAACCTCCCCTTCACCTTAATATGAGTGTGCTTAGTTAATTTTATGATATATATATATATATGTATTTTGAGAGTTTTTAGAATGTAGGATTTTAGAGAGTAAAAGCACCAAATCATATAGTTTAAAAGAAACTGACAGACTAACAAATAAAAGACCTGTTTTGCTAACTAACATAAAATATAAAAAAAAATTATAAAGCTAACCATTTGAGTAAAATAGCAAAGAACTGAGGAACTCATTGCTTTACTGATCACTGCAAAAGTATTCGAAGAAAAGCAGATGCTTCTTTGATCTGCCATCCAAGACAGCTAACAACCCTTATCTGGGAGAACGGTCATAAAAGTCAAAATTCACAGGCATCCTGCACCTCTCAGCAAAACAGGGAGAAAGCAACTATTGAAAATTAACAAAGAATAACACATACTGAGGAACATATCTCACAAAATTATCGACAAGAGGTGAAAAGTACATCGCGAGGAAGACATACGGCCTTCCTCCAAGGGACCCCTGCCCACACATGGTGAGGAAGACCTACGGCCTTCCTCCAAGGGACCCCCGCCCACGTTTTGGAGGCCCCGGCCCACAATTACCAGGAGGATCTGCACAAGCGTAAGGGACTGATAAGTTAATTAGCATATATTACCATACGAAGCAGGGGTGGGCGGGGTTAGGTAATGAATATGTATAAGCATCAATGGAATATGTTTATTGTATAACTAGGGGATCGTGGGTGCAGCTGGGAACTCCCGGCCCCCGGTGCTGGTTTGCTCATTGCCACTTGCTTAATAAACTCTGTAAAATTGGCCTTGTCATCTCTGTTCCTTAAACTGGGAAAACTTATAACACGGGGAGGCTCTCATGGTAGCTCCCCATCTGTTTCACCTCTAGTTTTCTAAAGTACCTTCTGACTTCCCTTGGCATGAACAAATCAGAACTGAGCAGCTTGAGCTGTTGAAGGCAGCTTTACATCCCCCTGCCTGCATCGCCACGGGTCTTGTGAGCAAGGGCTGGAGAGAGCAGCTACACCAGGCAGCCCTTTGCTCCTGCTCTGCAGCAGATGGCTTCCTGGGTGGGTGTCCCGAGGTCTCCTGGGACCCATGGCAGCACAGCCGCTCGCTGCTGGGCTGAGAGGCGTGGGAAAGAGAGGACACTCCTGCTCAAAGCATGAGGAAGAAGCAGGCAGCTGGTGCCCAGGCCGTGCTGGAGGCAGGCCAGCCGTGGGGAGCACCTTCACCACGTAAAGACACAGTGGAGGATGAACCTGTGGGTGCCAGAGCCCTGCTTGGTGTTGGGCAGGTGTGTCTTGTCACCTGGGAGAGGAGGCGTGTGCTGCAACACTAGACCTTCAGCCTGTCCTTTACCCCACTGAAAGCAACCTCAGCCCCACCATCCTCACAGACAGCCTGCACCTACACACCTTCAGCTTTCTGCCCTGGGTCCTCCCCCCAAGCAGGAGGGAGAGGGAGGGACTCCCAGCCCCTCTAGCACACGGATACAGTCAGTGCAACACCTTTTCCAGGACCTGTCACATCTTGTGTTATGTTGGTTTGGGCTGGGCAGAGTCAGTTTTCTTCATCGTAGCTGAAAAAAGATTGTTGTGACAAAACTGAGTAAATTATGTCAGGTCTCTTCCAACTGATGGTTAAACAAAACACAAGAGCAATGCAAGTATTGCCAAAAACAACCTCACGGCCCACACGAAGTCTGTGCTTTCCTTTGTTTTTCTCTCAAGTCCTTTAATTTCCACTTCTGTATTTCCTGAAAAAGTGGTTAATAGCATGGCAAGCTTTTGTGAAATTTGTTCACCTGATTTGTGTCAAAATAAAATCCCATTGGGGCGCCACGGTGAGGGGTGGTTCTGTTGGTTTTGTATAGCCACGGGCCTGGAGAAAATGCAAGGTGATCAGTTCTGGTTCCTTGTTTGCTGTCCCTTGGCTGTTGTTGTGCTGGCTTGCACTGAATCTGTTAATGGCCACTTCATGTTAAACAAAGGGGAGTTGTAAAGCGCATCGTGGAGTCGTTAAACGAGGAGCCCAGGAAGATTATTGACTCCATCCAACGACCACCAGGGGGGAATGAAGGCGACCCCAAGAGGTGAAAAGAACATGCTTCAGAGAAGACCTACCTGTTTTTGGAGTTAATTTACATAGACCCACCTGTTACAATTAACGTAGCCCCACCTGTTACAGGAGCTGTATTAGCAGGGACAATACAAGCCACAGACAGGGACTGTGTGGGGTGCCTCTTGGTTGAGCAGAGACTCCCGGTGCACCCAGTGCTGTTTGCTGCCTTTGTTCCTTTAATAAATTTTAAATTTAATTGGAATCTGGGTTTGTGCTAAATTATTTCTCACACTTTGATGAAGCTGGAAAATCTGTTTGACAGCTATCTATCCATGCTGCAGAGTGACAGCCAACACAAAATGCACACAGGTCCTGGTCAGCAGCCGCTTACCACCGTTGAAGTTGCTCCTCAAAACAGTCCCCTCATGCCATGCACGGGCTGTTGCCTGCAGGGTTAACCTGGAGATAAAATTACTTCCCTTCACACTTTTCATTTGGAGCTGAACAATACTTTGACACGAGTCCAGGGACAAAAGAAGGTACCCTGGGAGGAGCGTGCGGGTGCTGCTGCCTGCGCCTGCCCGCACAGCTCGCTGCAGGTGGGCTCTGCTCTCCAGGAGCCAAGGAGCTCTGCAGGCAGCAGGACTCTGTCCTGCTGGTGAGAACATTCAGGTGTAGGAGTTTGGGATTCTTTTTTCATTAGGGCAAGGTTCCCACTCACTCTTCCACAAATTAAAGCTGTATCATTAAAAGCTTTGCTTAGCATTTGAACGCTGTGTTTTACTCTTGGTTTTGGGTCAGTTTAACTTGTGTTAGAACTCTTCCTGTTTAGCTTTGACAAACCCACATGTGCACAGTAGCCTGGCTGGAGGTAAAGAGGAAATTCTCCTGGGTAGCACAGGAAAAGTGCTGTAAAAGCAACAAGGTGTTTTGCAATTTCCTCTGCAGTCCTGGTGCTGTATCTGGCACACGCCCTGTTCACACCTGCTCTCCTTTTGCCTCGGTCACAGCCTCCAGGGAGGCACTGCAGGAACCTCACCCTCCACTACACCAGGAACCTCCAGCGAGTACTGAGACCTCACCTTACCCACGGCCAGTTAACATCCACATTCTTCTCTTGTCAGCTTTGTTTTGAAGCTTGAACGGATCCTCTCTCCTCGCATTTGCCCTGTGAAGCATTCAGAACCAAAGGAAGGGCCCCTCCCCTGCCTCTGCCACTGTCCCAGGTGAGCTCCCAGCGAAGAGCCAGCCCCCCCGGGAAGGGCTCCCAAAGCCCTGGCAGCCTCTCCCCACGCCCACCTGCACCCTCAGGTACACTGGGCTGGGAGACACCTTTGGCAGGGCACAATGCAGCACACAAAGGCAGAGTCTGTGGTGGTTACACCTCCTCCGTGGTGCTGAGCAACTGCCAGTGTTTCACATGTGCCTTTGACCCCCTGCTGCCTCCAAAGGCATTTATTATCTTAGCTTCCTGGGGAGGAACACGTGGGAAAGGAAAGGGAGAAGAAAGGCAACAGCTGACAGGGGAGGAGAAACTTCCAGAAGACACTGTGCAAAAGCCCACGAGCTGATCATGAAGCTGCTGCTTAGGAGATAAGGGTGTTGAACTATTTTTGAACAGATTGTATCTAAACACAGCAGAGAGTGTTCCTTGTGAAGGTTTGGAACAGAACAGCTTGGGAATGGAAGGAGAAGACACAATATGCACGTACACCTGCCAGCAGATGCAAGAAGGGTTTTGGCCACAAGTAGTTCAGCCTTTGTCTCTTCAGCACCTAAAAAATTATTTCTTATTTCTTAATCATAAACCAATACGAAATTAACTCCATATCACCCCATACAAGCTCTTTAACACCATGAGTCACAGAGAAGGTTAACTACTCTGCAAATCATGTAGCTGAGAGAGCATAAACCAGTTGAAAACCTAAATGGTTTGGAGGAATGGAATTGCCAGCCTGCAGCTGCTATTTTTATTGTTTAAAGGCATCCTCCTATAAACAAGTTCTTCCTGTAAGACTACAAATAAAACCAACAGGCATAAGTCAAAACAAATAGAATCAAAAAATAACAATAAAAAAATGAGGATCTCTTTGCATGATGAATTCGTAGCTCAGGGTCAAGCACAAGTCAGGGACACTTGGCAATAGCTCTGGCCTGCTCTGCTTTGGTTTGAAGTCACAGTCTGTGTTCAAAGCATTCTTGCTAAATGAGCTCAGCTGACTGTGCAGGCACCTCTGCAGAAGCCTGTGCTGTTCACATGAAAAGGAACCTCTGCCAGCAATCACAGCAAGCAAAAGGTAATTTTAAATACTTCTCTACTGACCTCTTATTCTGGGTCCCAAACACTCACAGTCCTCACTGCTTCTAGACATCCCAGGATAAAAACTGTTACTGTAATTCCTCCACATAACAAGCTCCAGCTCAGACTGAAAATTATTTATGTAATAAATGAGAACACCAAAGGTACAGCCACATTTTATTGATAGCCTGAAATCACTTTGTGTTTTCCACGTGCTGTCATTAAAAGTCATCTGCCTCGTATAAAATCTTGGTCTCAGTCGTGACAGAAGTTTGCTTGTACTACACAGGACCAGCAGGGCAGCTTCAGGTGTTGAAGCTTCTATGGAGGTTGAAGGAATTTAAGGATAATCAAAACTTCCATTGTAGGATAATCCCATTTGCACATTTTTAGAAACACCAGCTTTTATAAATAAACCGTATAAAGCAGCCAGAGTTCTGTTAAAAGAGTTTTCCTTCTAACAGTACTTACATTTTAACTGGGCTAAACTATCAGTATTTACAGTAATTTCAACTACCTGTTTTCTAAAGGCTCTTCTACATTTTTTGAAACTTTTGGTTTCCACAGATTCCCAAGCACGATCCCTGTGAAGAGCAGGACTCCTATGGTACGATTAGAAACAAATTTCTTCCAGCAGTCTTCAGGATTGTCTATGTCCAATGTGTAAATCTGTAAAAGAACCATGTAACATTCTACCATTATTATTCTACAGACTCATAAATATTTGACACATCACAAAAAGACACAAAAAGGTCTGTAACTTCAAAACCTGAGGCCCAAATTCTAAAGTCTACCTTTACCTACACAGGAAACATAAATGCTTTGTGCCTACAAAGGTGTTTTTTTTTCATAACTGGTACTTATTTATAAATTATAAATTTATAAAGATTTATAAGATGTGCAGCAGAGAAATCAAGGATTACATATGAACAGGATTCCTAGACTCTCTCAATGACGGACCATATAAACAGCCTGGATACTGCTATGTCTGGTTTAATCCTTAAAAATGTAAAACTATCTGGGCATGTAATTAAGCCTTTTTGAGGTTTTCCCCAGCAGGTAGTCACTGAATTCTTCAATGGAAACTTGAAATAAAAATAACCCCCCAACAGGACATCTGCAACAAGAGCCAGAGGTGAGCAACTGTCTGCTGGGAGTCACAACTAGGGGTGAAAAAACCACACACAGCAGCAAGGGTGAAGTTACTGAAAAACACTCCTGGAAGCAAAACTTGGTGCATAAGTCTTGAGCAGGATGACAAGAGGAAATGTTAATCAAAGCAAGGGAAAGGAACAATAGAAAGGCACACCCCAAAACCTCAGCCCTGTATTCAGCCTCTGCTGAAGTCAGAACAGAACATGTCCAACTGAAGGAAGTGAAACTTTCTGGGTGAAACCTGTTCCTCAGCCATCTGTAGGGGTGTAGAGATGACAGGGCTGGGTTCTGATCAGATAATCTGAAACACCCACAGGCTTCTACGAAATGATGCCACCCACACCCTTAAAACCTGCCAGCCCCTCAAGCACAGGGAGCTGAAAACACTCCACTGACAAGTAAAATCCAACCGCAGCCAAGCCACAAGATACACCTTCAGAAAAGCAAGGCAAATAAAAGATGCTGTCTTTCTATCAGGGAACTTCTTGAGTGGAATAGAAATTTGACAACTTCACCACCCAAATTCCTCTGTCTCAGGCACAAATTCAATGAATTAAGGAAACCCTGCCCCTCATGCAGCTTACTCAGCTTTCTAAACTCAGTTAGTTAAGCATACGTTCAGAAATCTTTAATAAGAAGACAAGCATGAGAATGTTAAGGCAGAAATAACTTTAAAATAGTAACTCAAAAAGAAGCTACTCTGTGGTACAGTGCTGCTCTTGTGACTGCAGATTTACACAATTATTGTGCACTCTTCATCACTCCCATTCAACAGGTCTGCATTCTCACTAATAAGACCCCTCCCTGCAGGAAAGCAATTCCCATTCGTTCCAAACGGACAACATTTGGGTCTCTCTGACAATTTAAACTGCAAAGGCTACACAGCAGAATTTAGGATGCTTTTTCCCATGGATTTCCAAGCCAAACTGCTATAAAAAGCAGTGGCTGCTAAGTACTAGACTCCATCACCTCAAGGATTCTCTTACTCAGAGGTATGTTTACCATGAATGTGTAACACAAATCCAATGTGCTTTTAGAAGTCCCATGTTAACCACAGACTTAACTGCTCCGACTGTTGACAGTTTTACTACTCACAATACACAAACCTCTCTGCTATCAAGATCAGCAATTAATCTCATATGCACTGGCTTGGCCCTGCAGCAGCACAGGGCTCAGGGAGAAGAGGGTGACCAGACCCTATCTGCTCACTCGACTGACAAGGCCAATTTCTCTCTGTTACTCATTAACATTTCTAAACTAATATAAATACAAGACTGAACTGGATTGTTCTCTGCCATAGAAATAACTATGAATTAGAACTGTCCATGATCATGAAATGATAATATTAACATCTCCTACAGGTAGTAGTGAACAAGCCACAGGAAATTTTGTTATGCTGTCAGATCCCAGTACAGAATAATTTTTTAGATGTAATATTCACCATGTAACATTCATTTTCAGAGTTCCTGTACTGCATGTTATTAAAAAAAAAAAGGCCTGCATGTGTCCTTGATACTGTCAACCACATCATCTTTTAAGGGAAGTGAAGAACCATCAATTGCAGTCTCAGACCACGTGCACCAGACAGGTACCCCAGGGCTGTGTCAGAACAGGACAACCTGACACGCTTGCAGGGTATGGAGGTGGCCCTAGCTGGAGCTGCTACTGAAAGTGAGAAGAAAAGCTGTGGTGTTAAGGGGATGGCTAACACAAGGCAGTTCTCTTGGTTAGGAAAAGACTGAAAACAAGTGCTCTGCAGTCTGCCAGCCACCGGTGACCTCTTCAAACAGGTCTGCAAAAGGCACTTCAGAGGAGTAAGCTTATTGCCAGAAGACTTCAGTCCTCCTCACAGAGACTGCTTTCAGGTAGCTGACAAACTGCTGGGGCTTGCAAGCCACTCTGACTGCTTATCAAGAGCTTCCCCAGGGAAGAAGCACAGCAGCCCCCAAACCTGGCGCGCGAGGTGAGCCCCCGCCGCTGCCACCGCCGCGTAGTAGGGGAGGGTCTGGTGGCAGCTGAGCCCTGCCAGGCCCATGCCCAGCAGCATGGCCAGGCTGAAGCCAGCCAGCCAGGGCTTGGTGTGCCCCGCCAGCCGCAGCGCCGTCGACTTCACGCCGACCACCACGTCGTCCCTCTTGTCCTGGGATGGAGAGAGGAAGCATCAGAACCCTCAGCCCAGCTGCTGCTTCGTGAAAAAACATAAGGGGAGCCCTGCTTAAGCTTTCATGCTTCTTATTAGGGACCCAGTTTAAGAGCTTTTGCAGGTCCCTACATTCAAATGTAAATTTTACTAAGGAATGTAAGTTTTAAGGTTGGGGCTTAGAGCTGCTTCAGCAGCCAAGAGCTAATACCAGTGTCAGAGTTATTTACACAGTGCAAATGCATAAGCACCCAACGTGCCTCATGCCTCCAGCTACCTGCTATGTAAACCCCTTGCAAACAGCAATAAAGGGTGCAAAGGAGGTTCCTTTGGTACTGCTAGCTCAGCTAATGGTGAAGAACTGCAGGTTAACACTGCTGTTTGACCACAATTCAAGGCACAAAGATATCCCAAATTTCCCACTGTTACTCTACCTGGTGTGCATAGATGGTATCATACACCAGCGTCCACATTACTCCAGCAAAGTACAAGGGCAAACACACAGACCACTCACAGGACCCTCTGATGGCAGACCAGCCCAGAAGGGCTCCCCAATTAAACGTAAGTCCTAAAAACAGAAAGAAATAAAGTTGCAAGATTGCTAGGAGCAATCTAAATGACACATACAGGATTATTTTTTCCAGTGTAGATCATATCAGCAGCATTATGTACAATACTGGCACCTCTATTTTTCTACCCCTCATTTTCAGGCAGGTAATAAATACAAGTAATTTGACATTAAATACTCTGCACATACAAAGGTAAATATGTACAGCCGTGCATTTTTCTCTGATTTGAATTTTGCCTCATTAGCACAGGGAAACATTTGCACAGAGCAATTCCAGTGTACTCAAACAACAGGTCTAAATTTAAAACGCTTTTAAGTCAGTATAGCAGAAGCTGTCAGTGGAGCTGGCTGCAGAAGGGTGCCCTACAGCCAGCTGTGCTACTTCAAGGCTGAAAACGACAATTCTGGTTGAAAAAGCTGAAGGCAGCTGGAACATGAGGGCCACGGTACAATGACATGTTTTAGTAGCCCAGCCTGAAGTACAAGCACCATCAGCTTCTGCACTGCAGTTATTTTAGAGGCTCAGTGCTGAAGTATAGGAGAAATGCATGTTTAAGAAAGGTTTCCAGATAACCTTGAAACTAAAGTTGATTCTCAGGTGACAAATATTTATCTTCTCTCTCCCCTCACACCATCAAAATAAGGAACTATTTTTAACAAAAAAAAA